GTGACTCTCTGGCGTCTCTTGCAACACCGCTGTCTGGGCGGCTAGTGCACGTTCTTTCTCCCTACGAACTGAGATGATGCGCTCTGCTCTCCGTCGCTCCATCGCAGCGCTTCGAACCTTGATAGCTGTCTCGTGTTGCTCGCAATGATTGACATACATCTCAAGGAGTGGTTCCGGGTGGTCAATGGTCTGTAGACGCTTCATACCGCGTTCCAATACTGCAGTGGCAAGAGAAGGTGGCAGAAGCTGGTGCCCTGCATTCTCCTTGTTCCGGGTTGAGTGTGGTGCCCAGAGAAGCATCTCAAAGATGTAGTAGCGATACCAGAAATCGTACGAGTCTTCTTGGTGTTTTGCAACAGACTCTTGTATTTGTCGAGCTTGATCAATATCACCACGCTGGAGCCAGAATTTTATGTGGGTTCGTTCGAGACGGTATTTGGGGTCGGTCCACTCTCTGCCATGCTTCTTCATGCCAACTTCGCGGACAAATTCCAGTGCAGATCGTATGCCGACTTCTGCAACGTCGACATCATCCTCTGTTGCTCGGGGGTCATCAAATGCTCTCCGGCGCAAATAGCCACACCAAGCAAGTTGTACCTTGATAAGTTCATCCAAGTCAGTATGCTCCAGAAGGCCCGATCCGGTTGCTGTGTGCTTGACGAGTTCGAGGTCTTCGAATGGCTTGTTTTCTGCTTCAAGTGTAAGTAACCGATGTGACCACAGTGCTCCAGACCAAGGGCAGTGACGCGTCGCGCGTTCCAAGACATTCAGCAGGTCTACAGAACGGTTGTCTTGCCAGACAAGAAACTCGACATGGTCCTCCCATATTGATGGGTCAACAGGGAAACGGAGCGTGGCTCGCTCATAAAGCGCATTGACGAGGTGGAAGCTGTAGACGCCCATAGTGCGCTTCTCCCACTTCAGATACCTCGTCATGGCGGTGTACTCGGCGGCTTGGTCGCCTGCTTGGATGGCTTGCAACAGCTTGAATTCGTATTCTTCGCGATTGGCGTACTGTTGTTTGATGTGGGTGTTCTTCTGCACTGCATCATCCATAACTTGCTCGTAATGACTCTGGTTGTACCTAGAGTTGAACGAGGAATATCTCGACAGTGTGTTTGCCCATGTAGCATGAGGTTGACCCAGACGCTCATTGTAAATGGCGGCTACTCTCTTCGCCTTTTCTTGGCTGAAGCCGCCTCTTTCAAGATCTTCTTCCAGCACCTGCAAGTAGCGATCCCACACAAGGTTGCTTTCTTGAAGATTGTACTTGACTCTCTCGGCACCCTGCTGCAACACATCCAACAAGAGCTGAGGTTGAAAAAGCTCGCGACCGATAAGACGTTCTTCTTCCGGCCATTCCTCTGGTGGTACTTGGTCCCACGAGCAAGCGACTAAGTAGCTCACATACTCCCCGTACGCCGCCCAGAGTTTGGCACTGTAAGGCTCTTCCTGGGTTGCCTGCTTATGCAACTCTAGCACACCCATGCGCTCTTCAACATCTCTTGCCAGTGTTTTTTCATCATTGAGTCGGTAGTGCCAGAGCAGCTCGCCCAATGGGTACTTGTCAGACATGGTCTTGTAAGCATCGCGGAGTGTCTGGACAAGTTCGTATGCGTTGGGGTCGGCGTCGAACGAAGCGAGGTGGTTCTGCAGGCCTTGGTGCAGTGTGGTGACAAGCGAGACATGGCTGTAATAATCGAATGGATTCTCGAGCAGTGTTTTGTCGAGTTGGTTAAGCCAATCGATGAGCTGCGGCTCGAGAGATCTCGTAATGAAATTGCGCGGTCGCGGCGAGGGTTCGGACATGATGCTGGCTACCGACTCGCCGGAGAGGTTTTGTCCCAAGTGTTGGAGTCTGCAACACAGTCAGCATCTGGGGTGAGAAGTCGCAAACAAACCGAGTAACCATGACAGGCAGCCACGGCCCGTGACCGCGGCCAAACGCGTTGCCCATACTTAATAACCCGCTGGACCTATAATAGCCCCACAAACACGTGCAATTGGTACCGGGCGGTGACATGGTTCACGAGCACTGATATATATACACTTACGTGACTGGTCGTTGATGAACTGTAGAGTTCTGTCGCGCAGCTTGTTGCTGCTGCATACTGGCGAGATCTGCTGAGTTGTCAGCAGCCACTTTTGAAGTTGTACGAATGCACCTTCTCCTTGACGCATAACCCAAGCCTCACTTCAACTCGACCACGGCTTTGCGATGCCGTACGTTATAGCCAAAAGGAAAGCGGGCACCTACCTGCTAGTGTATCCATACCAGGTGTCGACGCCTGCCGGTACATGGGATTCGGGGGTGTCATGCGCGCGTCACGAGGCGACGAGACTTGCTGGGGCGTGCCCATGGCGCTGTGTATCGATCTTGCGCCATTGGCGATCTGGGTGTAGCCCGGCGATGGGCCTCGCGACTGGAGGGTTTGGTGCGGTTGGGGTTGGGACTGAGGCTGGGGCGACGACGATGATATGACCTGCTGGCTAAGGCCAGAGGGAGTCCGCGATGGTATCTGGCGCCTCATGCGCTTACTCGGCGATGGTAGCAGTGATGGCGACGCGGCGGCAGGCGCGGGCTGTGGTGTGGGAGTGCCCGCAGGCGAGTCCAACGGCGACAACAACGAGTTGATATCCATGGTGAAGGGCGTCGGCGGCTTGGTCGGCGTCAGGCGCGCTGGGTGTCTATGGATCCAGTGTTTCGGTTTCTACCGTCGCGAAGTACAGGGACTACCAGGCATCGAATCCCTCGTAACGGACGGCATGGGAGGGGCGCAGACGGGCGGCGCAGGAAGCAGGGTCGGATACGCGGGCGATGGGACAGTGAGGGCGATGGGAGGGAAGAGGGTCCTGCCAACGGCGTGGGTGAGAAGGCCTACAGTCTGATGGACCAGAAGAAAAGGTGCTTAGGTGCATCAGACGAGCTTGGGCCCGCAACTAATCAAGTAGTGATGCAGCAGCCATTCGGAGCAGCCAGACGTCAACTGGCGATGGCGGAGGCTGCGCATATGGCGGCGGGTGTGTTGCGCGTCACCAGGCTCGCGTCTACACGGCAGCTTGTTCGTAAATGACAATGGCCTTCCTGCAAGGGGGCGGGACGACTCGATAGCTGCACACATTGCTTCTGAGGGCTTGATCGCCTTGCGTCTGGCTCATGGCGATCATCTGCCGAGACTCTCCACCCCCTGCAAGCGCGGAGCCTTTGGCCGCAACCACAGAATTTCCCGTCAACCTCAGTCTCCGCCCTCCGCACCCGCCGCACCTTCAACGGCCACAGGCCTTCACATCATGAGCGCTCGAGTCCCGCCGCGGCGGCTGGCACAGTCAGGTATGCCATTGCACCGCTTCCTTAGCCCTTTCCTGGCGTGCCAATGTCACCACCATGGGGGGTAAACTGACAACGACTAGCCCTCGCCGCACTGCGCCCTCGGACCCATTGGGTCTCCTCCACATCGCTCCCATGCATTTCCCGCCGCAATGCGTCTTCTGGAGGGAGCGGGAACGACGAGGACCTCACCAACCCCATCTTGGACCAGTACCTGCGGAAGAAAGAGCTTGAATCCGGCGCAGTAGACGGCGGCCGATCAGTGCGCCCTACCCCCCGCTTTGGAGGCCTTTCAAACCACCCATCGTCCCTCTTCCTCCCCGAGCGCGAGATTCCAGGATGGCGAGACGACCTCAGTGCTGCTGAGAAAGAAAAGCTTCAGGCACGGTACAGGCGGCGGCAGGAGCAGGCCAAGCAGCAAGAAGAGCGGGAACTCATGAACATGAACATCGACCCAGACCAAACCGCTCGCAAGCGTCTCGAACGCAAACTCGTCATCTCAGGTGTCAAGCGCCACGGTCGCATGACAAAGTCGCAAAAGCTGCTCCGCACCGAACGCCAATCGCTCTACAAGTCGCACAACCTGCCCACCTCGACGAAAAAGCTGCAAAAAGTAGTTAACCAAATTGCCGGCAAGACCGTCTCAGAAGCCCTCGTGCAGCTCCGCTTTTCAAAAAAGAGAATCGCTCGCGACGTAATAAAGGGTCTCGAAATTGCCCAAAATAGAGCCATTGTGGGCCACGGCATGGGCCTAGCGGGTGAGGCAGCCGCCGTCTCGCGCTGGAATAAGCAACGAGAAGCCACGGATGCGGGGAAGCCGAAGGACACCTGGGACTACAAGACCTCCAGCGACGATTCTGGCATCGAAGTCACAAAACCCAAAGTCCCGTTTTTCAAGGACACTACAATTGAGCTGAAGGACGGACGCAAAAAGGTCGTCCGGGATCCCAGTGAAATTTACATTGATCAGGCGTGGGTAGGACCCGGCGAGAGCTGGAAGAGCCCAGAGTTCAGGGCTAGAGGTGCTATTAATATGCTCAAGCACCGTACAACAAGTATGTTCTGATATTCACCAACAATGTCCGTGGACAAGATGCTAACCACACCACACCAGGCTTCTCCGTCCTCCTCAAGGAAGAAAAAACTCGCATGCGCATCTCAGACGAAATCAAGAAGAAGCGCGAAAACCGCAAAGTCTGGGTCGCTCTGCCCGATCGACCAATTACTTCTCAGCGCCAGTTTTGCCTGTGGTAGATTTTTTTTCCATCGATACTTTTCCCATGTATACAAATCTAGTCGGGGAGTAATACCTCGGCTTGTAACAATAAACCACTCGAACTTGACTGTAACACACTCTCACGAGCATGATTGGAATGACAAGGGAAGACGTATAAAGCATGTTTCTTCAAGTCCCATAAAACAAAAATACGCATGCACAATCCGAATCCAAAAGTCCCTGCATCTCCATTTTTCACGTCCCTGCATTCATCTGTCCAATCCATACATGCGTACATATCAACCCAGATCCAACCTTGTTACACATTTTTTTTTGTCATCCACATGAACAAGAGAAAGAAGCCGGCATTGCAGAACAACAGAAACCCCTTACAGTCGAAAAAAAGAACGAACGCCATCGCTATGCAAATCCAAACAGGCATCGATACGCTCCTCCTCAAGCTTCCGCCTCCACCCCACCCACACTACTAACAAGCATATCCAACATGCCCCTAACCTTCCATGCATCCTGACTCGCCTCCACTGTAACCTTAACACGCTGCATAAGCGCGAGAACAAGATCATCCACCTCCTCGCTCCTGCCCAGCTGATCGGCATAGAGGTCGAGGACGACGAGTGCGACATCGGTGGTGAGGCGCGTGATACGGTAGTCTGAGATATTCTTGATGCACCAGCGGAGGATGGGCTGGAGGGACTGTGAGTCGCGGTTGCTGAGGGCGATGCGGAGAGCGGAGCGGTGGCGCAGGGCGGTCAGGAGGGTTATCGAGGCCATGCGGGCGTTGCCTTGCTGTGTGATGTATTAGTAACAATGATGAAAAAGGGGGGAAGGGAGAGTGGGGAGTTTACCTTTGATTCAAGAGCCATATCTAGAGCTTGTGCGTACATTCCCTTTCGCAGGGCATGCGCCCATGGCTGGCCGTTTGTGATTTTGCCGCGGGCATTGCCTTCGATGACGATATCGGCGCTTTCGCCGGTAAAGTCTTTGCCTCTGATGCGTTTTTCCCAACCTTTTCCGCGCTTTCGCTTTTTGCTGCGGTCATACTCTTCGATTTTGCCTTCCATGAGGGCTTGCATCTCCTTTTCTCTTTCGCGCGCTTGGACCTTTTGCTCGCCGGAAAGATGGGTCTTGATTGACAGGAGACCAGATTGCATGCCCACGGCGATATGGCGATCTTCCTTTTGGCTGGGGATGACATTGAGCGAGAGGATGGGTGAGGGGTACTTTAGTCCACCCACGACGTTCCAGCCAGTGGTTTCGAAAACCTTGACGTGCCCGTCGAGCGCACCAGAGAGCAGACGCTCTCCATTGTTTGCCAAAGAGAGTGCCGTGACAGTCTTCTGGTGATTGCGCAGCATGTGGATGGGCTTTGCCGCTACAATGTCCAGGACGCTGATCGTGTTGTCAGACGCCGCGAGAACGGCGGTGCCAGAAGGCATGGGGAGAACAGTCTCAATAGGCGCTGCGTGCTTGAAAACCATGACTGCTTTTCCGCCTACTCGCGAATCCCACAATCTAACTGTCTGGTCGTAACTTCCAGAGACGAGCAGTCCACTTTGCGCGGGCATAAAAGTTCCGCTACGCACATAGTCCTGATGGCCATCAAACTTCATCGTGCTCTTCTCGCTTGGCAGATCCCACAAGCGTACTGTGCGATCGTCGGAACAACTCATCAGCCCAGTCAAATCTTGTGGATTCCACTGTGTAACCCAAACAGGCTGCTTGTGCTCCTTCCATGTCTTCAGAATCGCCCTGCTCTTGACATCAAACGCCTGAATGACACCACTGTCTCCTCCCGCCACCAGGATCCTGCCATCACGGCGAATGTTTCCCGAGTGCGCAATGTCGTCGACGCCGAAGCGCGAGATGGTCTTGACGACTTTTCGGGTCTTGGAGGAGAAAATTTGAACGCGCGATCCAGTCGTCACTGCAAACAGATCCTGGGTTGCCGAAAGCGCATTTGCGGGCTGGGGCGGCGGTATTGAAATGTGTGTTACGGGCGAGGAATGCTGCGAAGGGTCGAGTCTGAGCTCCGAAGCGAAGGAGTTCCAGTATTTTTGCTCCGACGTGAGGGTAGTAGGGCCCTTTGGCAACTTCAGGGGCTGCAGCAGTTGGACTTCGGCGGCCATTGTGTGGATGGAATGCGATCACAGCGCGTGAGGTTGCTCGTGTCGCGAGCTTTTCGAGTGGGACGAACTTTTCGGTGGAGCAACGATTGGCGCTAACGCCATCGAGTAGTGGCGCCTTCCCGGCCGGGATGCGGGCACATGCCAAGATACATGCGTGTTAGTTCGGCGGGCGCATATTGCAACAGGGCCCTGGAGCATCACCTCCACCCACGGTCTCGTCTACCCTTTGTCCATGTAGCACCGTTGCCCATACTTCCGCTGTCATAAATATCGCGCCCACATGCCACCGACTGTCGCCCAAGGGTGCGTTTGACTAGCGCTGGTTGCCTGGAGGATCCGCGCGCACCCAGTTCATCATTCCACTCCGTCGCCAGCCACAGCCACAACCACATAACCTTCATCTGGCTCCCGTTCCGTCATAATCACTTTCTGCCATGCGACTCTCACCTTTTAATTGCTGCTCTATTCGCTCGCACCTTGCTGGCGCCCGAATGTCTGATTGCCTATCACCTGGATAAGCCGCCGGTGCCCACTTGGACCATCGTCTCCAGCCAGCCTCAACGCGTCAAGATGAGTGGCAACGCGCTGGACAAGATGGACGAGTTTTTCGACTTTGCTGCGCTTGAACACGATTCCGCGCTCCATGCAGCCAAGCCATCTCACCAAGATCAGAATCTGCCCTTTCAACCTGCCGCCAATGTCACGACTATGGACTGGGCTACGGTCCCAATAGCCGCGACCCGTTCCGTGGATGCCACGCAACGTTGGGATGACCCCATGGATGTTGCTCCCCAAGACCCTTCGATTAGTCAAGCTGGTCAGCAGTGGCCATTGTTTTCAGTTCCTGAATGGTCACCACCTGTGAATGTGAACCCCACATTAGACTCTACGCTCACTGGAGACTCAGTCCATGGTGAAAATCCAGGTCCCGCCTTCGCATCCTTGTCATCAATTGATGCTCCAGACCTCCATCGTGTCAATGATGATAGCCTACCTAGTACATCCCAGCCCGAATCTGCATCCTGGGACAGCCGGTCTGCAATCCAGGCTAATCCTCCTCCTGAAGTGGCAGTATTGCCTACCAGTCCAACTACATCAATCCAGCAAACCCCCAATGCCAACCGGAAGCCTGCATCAGCGAAACGCAAAGGCACTCAAAGCCGCATTCCTATCGAGGCAAAACAGATCCTCGAGGATGAGTTCGCTACCAATGCATATCCCTGCTCATGGGAAATGGATATCATTGCTCACCAGGCCAATCTTGACGTCAAAAAAGTTCGCAATTGGTTCAACAATACCCGGGCAAGAAAGAAATGTGAAGGTGCGTAGTATTGATATATGTTACATCAAACATGCTTATTCAGATAGATCCACAACCTGCTGCGCAGAATGGCAGGCCTAGTGAGCATTCATTCAACCCAAGACTTTCAAGAGATAGTCTGGAAAGCTTGGATAGGCAAGCAGACAGTGCGCTGTCACCACCACAGCCACCGTTGGCCATGTACCTTGCTCAGTCCTATCAAGAAGAAGGATTGGCGCTATCCGCAGTAGAATCGGCAATCTATGAGCACTCGGTCAATGGAAGCTGCCAAGACGACACATGGTCGGGATCGAAACAAGGCCGTAGAGGTTCTGTTATCACCTCAATTGCCTCCTCCGAAGGCACTGCACCGACCATTTATACAGTATCATCTAGTGGCAGTCGCAGTAATATCTCATCTTTCGGTCGAGACCGGAGGCGCGGCCGACGCCGCATGGCATGGAAAGAGTCGCCTCGCCAAGCTATCAACGGCGTCAACAGTGCGGGCGAGCCACAGAAAGATCTACCCTTTTTCTGCACCTTTTGTCCTCGAGCGTTCAAGACAAAATACGAGTGGGTCCGCCATGAAGACTCCGTACATGCACTTCGCACGACCTGGATATGCTGTGACACAAAGCCAGCCGCAGTTCTTGAAGTGTGCCCTTTTTGTGGTCAAGTCTGTCCGGACGATGCACACCTGGCTGGGCACAGGTACCAGCAATGCCGCAGCAAGCCCGAATCACAACGGACCTTTTATCGCCGCGATCACTTCATCCAGCATCTGCATCATGTACACTTTGGAAATAGCAAACATCCATCAGTACGGGTCGGCTGCCAGGCGCGACTACTAGCCGCTGAGGGCCACAACTTTGGCTGCAAAGACCTTACAATGAAGTGGCGTCGCTTCGGTGCTCCTATGAAGATTGATGACCCTATGCTCCACTGTGGGTTCTGCGGCAAGAAGTCAAAAGACTGGTCTGAGAGATGCGAGCATGTTGCCGAGCATCTCATTGCGCGTGAAGTAGATCGTGGTGTCTGGTGGACTGAACGCAAGGAGAACCACTTGGAGAATCTTTACTCGGCATCACCCTATGAGTCATTCCGTTGCCGGTACTGTCAAAAGGTGTTTACGGACGCCAAGGAAATGATTGAGCACTCGCATTGCCGCGTCTGGAGCTGTCGATTTTTACGAAGTTTTGATGACGTCGCTGCCGACACCCCAAGCCCTCCTCTAGGAACAGAATTCCCCTCAGCAAAGGGCCACCACTGTCATTTATGCGGCGCAGGATATCGAACCTTCCACATGGAGCACGCACAGCACCAACATCGCTACCGCTCATGCAACCAAGAGTTCTACACATCTGAGGAATCCTTTCTCCAGCATCTCCACAACTTCCATGGCGCATCTCAGCCCGCGCTCCTCCGCGGCAACGGCGTCATCGAACAGAGCTTCATGCGCAACAAAGGCGGCTCCTTCGAGCCTGTCGAGTTCAACGAGAGCTGGCAGCCCTGCGTCATGGATCTCGACGTCGCATCCGTCAGCCCCTTCGTGGCAGATAACACGCGCTCGCCCCCACCGAAGAAAACACAAACACAATCCAAAAAGGCGTTGTCTGTATCTAAGAAACCCCGTGAAGCAGTGCAGGCCACGCAAAAGACACACAGACAGCGCGCAGCCAGTGCTGCATCAAAAGCCGAGAGCAATGGACCTCGTTTCTTTAGGCTAGATACCCACGTCCCGTTTCTTTGTTCGCGCATTTTTTATTCGAGACAGGCTAGGGCGTCGAGTTTGACGAAAGATAGTAAAACGTCGTTGGAGGAAATATCCAGGCCGCACATCGCGACGTTGGTGATGAGCGCGGCGCTGGTTGGTATGGCGCCTGCGCGTTTGCCCATTCGTCCCGAGCGGGATATAGCGAGTGGAATGGTGGAATTGCGTCTTGATGGCGAGGTTAAAATGGAGTAGGGAAACATGTATTTGTATATTATTCGTTGGGATTGGTACATGGGGGGTGTTTTTTTGCATAGTAGGGAAATTTAAAAAAAGGGGAATTATTGGCGAGATGGGTGTCGTTATTCATTCAGGTGTTATTAATGATATTCTTTCTCACCATATCATTCCGAACATCTCTATCACTGATATGCCAGCTCAGCTATACTTCCTCCCTCTTTTCCCTTCTTCTTCCCCTACAAACTCTCAAGAACCCGTACATCGCTCATAGAATCAAAGGGTATCACACTCGTCTTTGTATCACTCCTCAGCGCCCACTGCAACGTCTTTTCCAGAATCCGGCGTCCCGTATGTTCAAGCTGTAACCTATATCAAAAAAAAAGAACATTAGCCTTCTCATTCTCTTCTTCCCCAGTCTGAGAAAAACATGTGAAATCAGTGAGATAAGGGATAAAACGTACCAATGACCCGCACCCTTAACAACAACAACCTGGCTCCCCCTGACCATAAACTCTTTCGCACCATCCAGCGCAAGTCGCTGATCAAATGCCAAATCTTTCTGTCCCAACATGAGCGTCGCAGGCGCTTTCAGCGCACCCTTGGGCGCCGTATTCGCCAGCGTACCCGCATTTGAACTTGATGAATGCATGGGATTCGAAGCGATATTGTATAGCGCCGCCGTCGTTTCCAGACTCTTCTCCCAAGGCCCGAAAAACAGGTTCTCGCGGTATATCCTAATTTTCTCAGACATGCCGCGGTCTGTGAGGCGCCGGTGCAGGGAAGGCGGGTAGGAAGTTCCCTCGGGGGTTTTGGTACGGAGTTGTTGTGAGCTGGGACCGGTGGAAGTGGCCATTGCTTCTGCGACTTCGATAGGATCCATTGGTGTGGATGTTATGGGTTTGGGGCTGTGTTTGGCGGGTTTGGGCGAGAGTTGATGGGGTTTACCCAGTGTGTGGAGGAGGCGGAGGAACCAGTAGTTTCCGAAAGTAGCGAAACCGGTGCTGAAGGGGCGGGGAAGGTGGAAGATGAAGATGTAGAAGGAGTGTTTGAATTGGCTGGCGATAGGGCGGAGAGCATTGAGTCCGTTTTTAAGGAGGCGTGTGTTGCGCGGTGAGGAGACCCAGGTGTGTAGCATTTGTTTTGCGAGCTGAATTCGGTGATGGATATTGAAGGCTTGGTGTCCGGGTATGATACCACCGGTTATGATCCAGTGATCTGCTAGGACGTGCGCTTCTGCTGCGAGACGAGCGCCGATGATGGAGCCCCAGTCGTGTGTCACAGCTACAGTTTTACTGCCTTCTTGTAGATACTGTTCTCGTATGCTGATCATGAATTCACTGATCGCTTCAAGCATGTCGTTTGCTCCGTATGTGGGAAGGGTGTCTGAGCCACCGTAGCCGGGGAGATCGACGGCAACAAGAATGGTGTCTTGTTGTAGCGAGGGGGATTGAAGCAAGTGCCGCCATATGATGTAGGAATCAGGGAAACCTGAGTGTATGTATAGTTAGCTTCTCTCCTTCTGTCTCTTTACATAAGATATTCAGAGATCTCTCTAAATACAATCCACATACCATGTACAAAAATCGCGAGATTCTTAACCTTCTGCGCCGACTGATCCCCCTCATGTACAACATAATGTATCTTCACCCCCTTGCTCGTGTCGAAAAACTTATGTTTGAACCCCGGCAGCGGCTCACGATCCAGACTCCAGAATCGCTCTTGTGCAGCAGCCAATTCGCGCTTCTCGGCAGCGCTGTCTCTTGCCCACAGCGCCCCATTCTTGAACACCGCTGCCGTATAGATTTGCGCCAGACTCGCCAGTCCAAATGTAAACTTAAACCCACTCCACGCCAGATTCCCCAGCTGCTCCGACATATTTCCCTCTGACTGCGCAAGGAATCCCGGAATCGAAGGGACGTTGTGCTCGAGAGCTCTCGTCGTCGCAAGATCAAGAAAAAAAGCGACGAAGGTGGGTAAAGTATCTATGCCAAATTGCCAGCAGCAATAGTTAAGTAGGTATATACGCTCGTCTCTCTCATTCGGCAAGTAAAAAAATATCGCTGTTAGAAAAGAACCGTAGTTGTAAAAAAAATAAGAGAGAGAGAGCAAAGGAGAAGAGAGAAGAAAGAGAAAGAGCACTCGTCCATCAAAACACACAAGAGCCCATCGCGTGCCCCTCCCCCACACTCCCCGCCTCACCCAACCAGACCAGACCAGACCAACCCAACCCCCATTTCTCACACGCAGATCAAAGTATGAAATCAGGAAAAAAACAGCAGCGATCCAGCTAATCTGAAACCGTAGATCTTCTCCCTAATAAACACTCTATTTATTCATCCTTTCTATCTCCCAACGTTCTCCTCTGTATCGTCACAAGAGTCACGAGTCACACATCCCCACTACTACCACGCATAACCAGCGCACAACCAGCGCATATCTCAGGGTCAAATGAGGCGGGAGGTGCGTTTTAGATTTCGCGTTTGGGTTGTTTAGCGTGCAAATATGGTGATTGTCTAGGTATAGCTGATAGGGGAGGTGAGCGGCGAAAGGGAATGGGGGGTTATGATGGTGGCCATAGCTTTTTGATTGGGGGGCGGCGGGTGGTTTCCCGTGTCCCGTGTTGGATTGGGGAGTAATGGATTTGTAGATCTTTGGTTTTTGCGTAGTATTTTTGTACAATTGGGGGTTAAGGTTGTGCTGTGGATAATAAGATGTTTTGCCGCAGTATTTGGGCAGATTGGGAAGGTGGCTTTGAAGGGTTGCGCGAGGGGGTGAGTGGCACGTGATATTGCGCTGTAGGGAGGGTGTTTTCTCGCTGATGGTAGGGCAGAGCGTATGTGTGGTATGAATGAATACAATGTTGGCAATTTCAGCGTAATGGCTACAGCAAAGCTGTATGTATTTATGTGAAACAAACCTAAAACGTATGTACATACGCATTTAGAGTTACAGTCTGGCTGTGGCAGCCAACCACAATACGCCTTCTTTCCCTCATCGTGACATCGCAATGTCGGGTATCATAAACTCTCATCCTCCAGTCTTTCCCTGAAATCTCACAACCAAGCAAATGCATCTCTCCCCTCTTATTCCCCATCTCATTGCTTCTTCCCCTTGACCCTCTCCATAACCCTCAACTCAGCACTCCGTTGCAACCTTAGATCCTCCAATTCCCTCTCCACCGCCTTATTCTTCTCCACAACCTCCTTCCTCTTCCCCATGCGCTCCTTGACCTCTTCCATCTTACTCCTCACCACATCTTCCACTACCCTCTCCAACTGCCCCGCATCCTCGATACCGTGCTCTCGTATGAATCGATCTGCAAACTCCTGGATCGTATGCGGCGAGGGTCCCGGTCCACCGGTGTAATATCCGTTCTTGTGGGTGAGATATAGACCGGGTACTGCGGAGTTGTGGGTGCGGAGATGCGAGGAGAGCGGTATGGGTAGTTGTGATGCGGAGATTGTAGGGATGTCTTGGGAGGGCTTCCGTGGTGAGGGAGCGGATGGCGGATTTAGAATGAGGTCCATGAGGCTATTTTCAAAGGCTTCGTCGTAGCGCACGGTTGAAGGAGAGAAGTCGACCATTGGTGAAGTGAGTTCGGGTTCGTCGCGTGGTGTGAGCGGCGCGTTGCTCATTATTGTGTCTTCGTTACTCATGATGTATGCACTTTCTGGTTCGCAGTGGGTTCGCGACACGTGAATTCTGGTGGGATATGTTATGCGACTCGTCGGGTATGGTGGAAGTGGAGTGAATGATGATGAGCGCAGTTGCGATGGAGACGTTGAAGCGTCATGACTAAGCCTTGACTTCCTGCACGCGCCTCCGCGGTCACTACAACCTCGATTCCTACCAACCAAGAACTTCACAATCCAACTTTTCAAACATCGCTATATCGTAATCATGGCCGACAAACTCCGCGCACAGCAACAGCTCGAAGCGCTCCAAGCGCGGTATATTGGTATCGGCAGCGCAGACACTACGAAACACGAATGGACATCCAACATTGCGCGTGACTCTCTGTCGAGCTACGTCGGACATCCGCCTCTTCTGCAGTACATGAGCATCGGACTGGGACAACCGCGCGAGAAAACCAGACTACAACTTTTGGAGAGAATGGTTAGGCCTGTCGGACCGCCGCCTGAGGTGAGTAGAGCATGGGAAAGGAGTTTGTTCAAGCGCAGATGCTAACAGGGGTATAGCAGCAAGACTGAGGCAGGATTATATTCAGATGCAATGTGAAGAAGTCTACCAAAAGCATTTCACTACACAAAGAAAAGGGCAAAGGCTGCTCTTGGTACCGACACGACGAATGCATGCAAGGATGGTAGTCATATGGCAACGTACAGCCCATGAGCCGGCTACGTGGTGCTTGTTTGAACGGCTCTTAGCTGATTCTATAGACATGCTTAAATCCATAGCAAACGCCGGGAGCTGGTGGTGATGGTGGTGATGGTGAGAGGCATGCAGACACCTCGACTCGAATGAAGATAGCCCGGCTACCCTCGTTAGCGGAGGCCAAATGATAGTTCATAGCCCATGTTTTGTCGTGATGTTGTTGCCTCAATCGCTCTCACTTCCACTGCCTGCATGGCCGTCATCGTCATCCCCGACGATGTCTCCACCAGCCTGGATGGCAAACTCGCCCTTTTGCAGCATGCTCTTCAGCTCCGTGTTTCGTGGGTCAACCAGCTCGACGGGCTTGAGCTTCGCCTTATTCCGTATTCTGGGATCGCATCCTGCGTCTAGGAGCATGGCGACAATGGATTGACCATGGGGCCAGACGTCTTTTTCGAGCGAGTTGACGTAGCGTACGGCTTTGTGGAGGGGCGTGTCCTGTTCCATGCGGTCGATTTCGTCAATCTCGAGGCCTTCTTGGTCGAGCAGCATGTCGATGACCTCGACTGCAGCGGCGTTAGCGGGTGGGTGTCCCGAGAGGCAGCCTGACCGGAGGATTGGAGGTACTCACAACTTCCGTAGGTGGCAGCAATGTGAAGGCAGCCGTTGCCGAGTCCATCGCGCGCGTTGTTCAGTATGTCTGCGACATAGTCGGCAGGCTTCTTGTCCGACTTTTTGGCAGCGGCATTCAGGTCGGCCAGTGTTTCCTCGAGGAGCTCGGTGTTGTTGCGTCGGCAGGCTTCGAGAACAAGTTCTCGAGGAGAGGCTCCCTGTAGGCAAGTTTTAGCAGCGGTCCTTTTGGGGCTTTTGGGGCGACGGCCATGTACATACGTCGTGGTGGTCAGCCATGGTGAAGGAATCCCGTGGATGCTTGCAGTGACTGGACAAGGGCGGGTGGCTGACAGGTCGGGCACAGCACACAAGCACACGGCACACGCGCGAATGTTTCGTCGACTTGTTTGGCGGGGTATTTCGGAAGTGCTAACGGAAACAAGGTGACAGGCCCCAGGGCGGTGAAGAGGGCGATGCTGTTGTTCACGGCGGCGCCCAAAAGGCTGCGATAAGATGTCGAGGCAGTAGTCAGTGAATTAGTGACATTGCCTGTCCTCTCCCCGGATCCAGTTGCATAAGCTCGCAATCTGAGACAGCCCGACACTCTCCCAAGCCCAAGTCCGCGCCGCCGCCGCCGCCCACCACTGCCACCACCGCACAAGGCTATGGCTGGTGGCTCGCCCCGCACTTTCCCCCTTTCGGCCCTAGCGCCCTAGGGTCCCGCCATAATCTTTCGAGCAAACGCATGCATCGACGACTCTACGTATGCCTACATATATGTCCATGTACATGTAACAGCCACAACCACACGGCCCACCACCATGCTGCTCTGTAAGTTGTCGCACACGCCCCCGCTTGCTGGCGCTGCAGCCACAGCTAATAAAAATCCCTCTAGTCTGCCCAACATGCAGCAACATGCTGCGCGTCTCTGCTGTCCCGCCCGGCGACCCTACCACCGAGGACTTTGTCGGCCAGAACCGCTTCGAGTGCCTCACCTGCCCCTACCACTTTGTCATCAACAAGCGCTACTATGAACGCAAGTATATGAAGAAGAAGGAGGTCGAGGATATCCTCGGAGGAAAGGGCGCGTGGGATAATGTCGACAAGACCGAAGGTATGTGGCCAAGTCTAGTCTCCAACACGCCTATCTTGGCAAGAATACGGCCCTAACACTGAGAAATAGTACAATGTCCAAATGAAAAGTGCAGAAACCACGAGGCATACTGGTACCAGCTGCAGATTCGCAGTGCCGACGAGCCCATGACAGCTTTCTACAAGGTGGGTTGTGCTTGCACCGAGGTAGGAAGGAACCTGTTGCTAATTTTCAAACAGTGCACCCAATGCGCCAAAGAGTGGCGGGAGTAGACTATCGCCATTTCCAGCACACACGCATACATTTGAGGAGTTTAGGAGCAGTCAATATTTTGGTATACCCCGGTTGAATTTCTACAAGTGCAAAAAAGTACACCATCTTTCCGCAGCTGTGACGCAGTCCGATTCGTTGGTCTGGAATTCCATTCAGAAGCATCACAGATTGGCAAAAAGGATCTTCAAATCATGGTGCAAGCTCGCCAATAGCCACCTGAATAAAATTGATCTAAGGCCAAAAAAGAACATGTTGAAAAAAGAAAAGAAAAATACGACATTATAGCGTACATGCTCCAAACCTAGCGCACTAGCACCATTTCCATTTCCATCCCCATCATCCTCACCTAAAAATTCTTCTGCATCGTCGTCCCCTCTCTCCCGATTATCCCAAACATTGGCACAACACTATCACTGATCCCCTGCACCTTGTCCCTTGCACCACTGCCACCACCAGTCCCCTTGGGACTCCCCGTCGCAGGCGTGTTACTCGGCCACGCCCACAGCGTATCAAAATCAATCTGCTCGTCTAGCCCACTCTCTTCACTATGCAGACTAGGTACCCGCGTGGCTTCCAGTGCCGAGAGATCGAGCATCGTGGATAGCGAGGGCGCCCCCAAAGGTAGCGATGCAGACGGCGTGGCCATGTCGAGTGAGGGTGGTCTGTGGATTGGGGATAGATGAACTGAGAATTCCGGTTCAGGTGGGTTGAGTGTGTTTTCCTGCGTTTGGGCAGCGATTGAGACGGGGACTGTGGGTTGGACGGGCAAGTTCATGACTTGGGGTTGCGGTGGTGTTTGGACTTGGCCTGGTACTTGCTTGAGGAGCGGTCGGTCGTTGAGGGGTGTGGTGTGTAGGCCGGGGTAGATGTGTATGGGAACTTGGTGGAGTCGGGGTGTGCCGTCCAGGGGATTTGTTGGTTGGACTAGACCAGTTACATTCGGGGTCGGCTGCTGCTGTTGTGCTTGCTGCTGCTGCGGTACCTGTACGCCGTACAGCTGTGATGCTATGCTCGGCAGCGTCGAGTTGCTTGTGAGACTGTCTTTTCGCCGTAGACGCTGTTGTGTGACTACATCTCTGAAGGAACTGAGAATGTACACAAGCCTAACGGCCTGTTGATCGCTTTCGGCGCAGTAATTCATGACGTTGATGGCGTTGGTCACGCAGTTCTCAGTTGCATCGATTTGGTAGAGACCGGCAAAGTCGCTGGCGAGGATAACAAGTGTAGCTGCGAAAAGGAAGTAAATGACGGCAGGGTTACGACGGGACAAGTAGCCCGCATCAAAAGCGTTTTGGACCAGAAGGATAGTGTGCACAGAGGCAATCACACACGCCTCGCTGAACCGTTCCATACGAACAAAGGGTCGAGGCCCCCTGTTTCCTGGCTGATCTACCTGACGCTGTGTCTCCTTGTTGAGAATGTACAGCAGGAACGGTCGAGTCAGCAGAATGATGGAGTGACAATAAAACAGATTGACGTGCAGAATAGCTACACCCTGACTGGGCGATGCAGTTGCAGCCTGTCGCCACTGTAGAATGGGTGTCAATGCCCGTGGCCATTTCTTGCAAATATCAGAAATCTCCTGTGCAAGCCGAGTGCTGATTTTGCGTCTTTGGTAGACCTTGCGTAAGATGATACCAATTACCTTGCAGCTTCGCACAGCAGCTTCCAGTGCTGCGGGCCCTGTTTCGTCGTAGTCGTACACTGTCTTTGGAGTAAAGCCCCAGGACTGGTTGTAGTCACCGTCAGAAGGCTGGAGCGTGTCACCCGAGCAGTCGTCCTCAGATATAGCAGTTGGACGACCCAAGGAGCATGATAGCAGACGGTCGATAACAAAAATGGATCGCCATAGATCCTTCCGCTGAACCTGCTCTTCTGGGCTGAATATCACCATGGTCTCTTCTCTGTGGAGACCCAGTGCAAGAGCGGATCGTGCCGCCATGCCAAGCAGGGCGAAAGCAGTATTCCGCTTTGTCTTGGCCAACATGTAGACTGACATGAGTAGCAAAGCTTGAACAGACCAAAAGTCCTGATCCTCTAGCCCAGTCATAGGATCGTTGAGGTTCTTAGCGTTCAGGTAGAATGCTTCTGCTCGGTCAAGATGCTCGCTCCGTAACTTGTCAATGATGAGAGCTTCTGGACTACCAGACAGCGGCGTTGCCATTGTCAAACCAATGGCAAACACCAGGTAGAGCAAGCATAGCCATGACGAACTCACCGAGAGCGGATCCGAATAGCATTGTTCCAAGCTTTTGAAGAAGGAGTCACGGTTAAAGACTTGCAATAGCCCATGGGTGTTGATGAAGAAGGCCTCTACCAGAACCCGGGCCGTCTGCTCGTCGGGTAGGAGATGGGTATGTTGGTATCCAAGTGGAAGCGAGTACTGACCCTCTACTATCTTATGTCGACGAGGGTCGGTAGTGAATGGAGAAGGTCCGGCTACCGTCTCAACCATCATCCGAAGGAGCTGGAGGAAAGATAAGGTAGCTGCATCACCGATATACAGTACCCGACCAGTAGGGTCCTGTAGCATCCTACTCTGACTCGGGAACTCAGCGACATCATCTCCACCATCATGCGAGGTGGTGTCCTGTGACACTGTCGGTCTGCTGCCGTCACTGCCATGATTCGCTGGCGGTTGAGGTACAGCAGCAGAGTTCGCAGCAGGGGATGGATAAGAAGCCTCCTGATTCGAGCTCACTGCACGGGACACGAGGGATGGCTGTTGGGGAGCGGTAGATGTCCGTCGGTGCAGGGACAGTGGTGAGGGCTGGGCCTGCCCATTGGTGGGTGTGTTTCCCGACGAATTACCATTTATACTACAAGTGAGAGAGACGGGTTAGTATTAAGATGAACTGAATCAAAATGTACGTCAAGAATATCCCTCATGGATCACTCTTGTGTACATGCAGATACCACGCATGTTTGACAAGTACAGCCGCCTCATTGAGAGAAATGTAAGTACATACACGGGGCTTGGGGCGTTGCTAGTAGTTTCAACTGCGCGCTTCTTCGCGGGTGGCCTGTCTTCGCTTGGAGAGTTTGGGTCTCGGTCCGTGTATATGCATGTGAATTTGCGCTGACCAATTTTAGCACATTGATGCGTGGATAGGTTGAAGGCTTACCTTGTCACAAGTGTTGCAAGGTTGGAGGCCGTTACACTTTTGGATGGTTAGCTTTGGTCCTGTTGATTGGAGGGCTTGACGGAGGTGCTGTAATGATGGAGGGGCAGGACTAGACTAGGACGTCTACGTTAGACATGTGCACCAAAGGGCTATTCTTGCGTGCATGCCCCCGGAGCATTGCACAGGCTAATGACATGTCCCGAGCCTGCTCGTACAAATATCCGGCTCCGCTGTGTTTGAGCGTGGCCAAATCAAACCGTTGGGTGGCATGCCGTGAGGCGGGTACACCACGGTTCAGCGCCGAGGAGTGGCAACACGCAAGATGAGCCCTCTCTGTGAAGCAGCCGTCCTGGAGTGGGATGAAAGCGCACAACTCGCCTTTTGTTTTCTGCGCTTGCAGCTCTCGCATGCCTGTGCAGTGCGCTGCCGCTGATCTATGCAATACCGTGTTAGCACCACTACGGCAGCCACACCGACACATGCGAAACGGACCTGGTGGAACCTTTGGGCGCGTCATCCTGTAAAGGCTATGTACGTATGCGCCTCGGCTGAGGTCGGTGGTTCGTCACGTGCAGCGGCGTTGAGTGCTCAATGCTGATGGGGACATTGCCGACGCGACGGAACGATGAAGTGTGATCGGAAGATGCACTCGCTCGAGGTGAGAACGGTAAGGAGAGCACCCCGGGACTCGCTTGCACCCCCCACCGCCGAATGCAACGGCGACGCAAAAGGGGTCCCACAGTTTCGAGTCGAGCGACTGGCGCGCGAGCCGGCGATGACGGGACGACAGAGACGGTCCTGCGGATGGTTTATGGGTGCAATGCCCATGGGGTCGTCCCTAAGCATCACGCAAAGCTTGGGCCAGCACGTTTCCGGAAGTCGGGTAGCGCAGCAACGTCTGCCGATCGTCACAGAAACCGTGTTCCTACATGCTGGGCCAGTCCGCCTTCGGCATCATGCCGTCCACATGCATGCCGTGGTTGGTAGACCACGCTCATCGCCACAATGGCTTACTAGGACCGGCCTCGACATGCAGCCAGACACTTCTTTCAACGGCTCTGTCGTTACCAATCTTGGCGTCTCGGTCCGCCCGTCAACGGCTCCCATGGCTTGCTCTTAAGCCGCCGCTGCCGTCACTCGGCCTGCCAGAGTACACATCTGGATACCATCATTATCACCATGGCACCCTTTCTAGGAACAGAGCAGGACCAAAACAATCAGTCCACCCAACCAAACGCTTTGCTGTTGGGTACAAGAACAGCCCTGGACCAACTTCTAGCAAAGGCCAAAGACAACCTCCCTCAAGAGTCACTGCAGCATATTACCAATGTCAAGTTCTCGACCGCCAACACAGGATCACCCTACTTTCCAAGCCCATTGAAGCAGACGGAAGCAATCTCGGCCCTCAAGGCTGTCGAGGCAGGCGTTGCCTCTGCTATAGCTGATCTTGACAATGATCAAAAAGATCGCCACATTGCAGTCGATCTTGAAAGAGCAACAGCTTTTCTCTTCTCCACCTACCTCACCACTGTAGGAGGCCTTGACAAGTCGAATCCCAAGGTCAAAAAGTTACTGAAAAGTAAGCATTGACAATCTAGACGCTCATATTAGTCACCTGACCAAGACAGACACGGACCTTCTCCAAGCCCAGTCTATTCTCTACCGCAGGTTGTCTGCAAATCTCTATGAGACCAAGAGACCGGGAGAGTACTTTCACCTGCATGGCTCCCTCGAGGCAACCAAAGCACTGAACATGGTTGGTCTGGAAGGCTTCCGACCTGACTTGACCGATTATCACGAGTGCATCAAAGTAATTGAGGATCGCGTCCGACAATTTACGGTAGAAGAGCTTGAAGAAAAGAATCGGGCGATCAAACAAGCTGGTGTGACCTGCCTAAAATGGGATGACTTCCGAACTACTGAACACGGTCAAGCACTGATGCAGGAGCCGCCCTGGAAAGTAGAACCTCTGGAAACCGACACACCACCAACCCCACTACCCTTCCGATCTTCACATGCACCAAAGCCACAGATCCTCTCTGGCATCCGTGTTCTTGAGCTTTGCCGAATCATTGCCGGCCCGGCAATGGGCCGTGGTCTTGCCGAGTATGGTGCTGAAGTTATTAAAGTCACATCGCCGAACCTGTCCGATGTGCCTTTCTTCCAGGTGGATGCCAACATTGGAAAACATACGACCGACTTGAACTTGAAGGATCCGAATGATCGACAGACCTTTGAAGAGCTTCTACAATCTGTAGATATTGTTCTTGATGGCTATCGCCCTGGCAGCTTGAATCGTCTTGGATATGGACCACAAAAAATGGTCGAGTTGGCGAAGAAGCGTGGCAAGGGCATAGTATATATTGCCGAGGACTGCTTTGGCCACGTTGGACCATGGTCATCACGTCCAGGTTGGCAACAGATTGCAGACTGTGTTACCGGTGTAGCCTGGGCACAAGGTCAAGCAATGGGGCTGAACGAGCCTGTCGTACCGCCGTTCCCCATGAGCGACTATGGCACAGGCTGCATGGGCACCATCGCTGCCCTAGTCGGGCTCTACAGGCGGGCCAAATCTGGTGGAAGCTACCTTGGTCTCACTTCTCTATGCCAATACGACATATTCCTGCTTCAGCTTGGTCTTTACGACGATCGCACAATGGCCGAGCTCAAGAAGCAACACGACAAGGAGTTCTTCGAGCTACGTCACTACGATTCAGTAGATGAGGTTGGTAAGCGGGCCCTCAAGACCATGAGAAGAACACACCCAGAGCTGTTTGAGGACCGACATATGCAGGAGTGCTTTAGCAGGGGTTTCAACGCCAATGTCAGGACTATTCGACCCGTAGTCAACATTGAAGGCTACTGGAACGGATTCCTGCGCAGCTCGCGACCAAATGGTTTCGACCAGCCTACATGGGATAATTGGGAGGTTGATGAAGATTTATTACGAGCATAACGTATTTTCCTTTTCTTGTATCTAAGCGTTCTGTTTGTCCCTAGATCAGCCTCCTATTTCCCTGTAAAGCATTACTGTACTACATAGCCTTCATTTCCTACCAAAATTACCAAGAACCTTAAGTGCCATCCTTTCTTCCCCTTGCATTGTTTGTTCTTTCATCATCTCTCGTCTCGAGCTCCATACGTATGTATCTCGCCAAGACGGTGTAATATTACATAAATCACGCGTTTAGCCCCACCTCTCACAACGCACCGCCCCCCGCCATCTAGACTTCCACCTCTTGTGTAAGCTGGTGCATCTTCCGACGATGGGGGCGGCTACCCAACTTACAAGCAACGCATGCTGCAATCTACCTTTACCTACATACTTACGGTCCATACCTCTATATCGTCATGACACGTGCACACGTGCACACGTGACATGTACAACCCCACACATTCCCAAAATGGTAAAAAAGAAGTCCAAAAAAAATCCTATGTATCCAAATGCAGTTTATCATCCCTTCATACATGCTTTATCCTCTAATATACGCCTAGGGGCCTTTTGCAACTAACAACCATGCATCTAGCCCTTCCCATCCTCCCATGTTCACGCCTCTCCCAACACTCCCTTTCCCCCTTACCTACGTAGCAAAAAAAATCTTTTATCCCCTTGCACCTCACCACAAACCCCGAACTTTACCCTTTCCCCCCCTCGCCTACCCATCCATCAAACGACAAATCCACCTAGTCCCAAAAAATCCCTCCCCTCCCTCAGCCCTAACACTATCCCTCCCGCGCCCTCTTACCCGACACCGATATCCCATACCCTGCAAACGCAATGCATACCCGTTTCGATCTTCTTCTTCTTCTTCTTCTTCCTCCCCTGTTTTTTTTTAAAAAAAAAGAAAATCGGCAAGGGCAAGACATCGGGCCGCGAGAAAGAAAAAAAAAGAGGGAAATCCGGGTAGATTTTCGGGAGACAGGTATGTGCAGGTTGCGGTGCGACGACGCGCGGAAAAAGGTGATCGCGGTAAGCAGTGGGGGGGGGGATGCGTCGGTAATGGCGTGTTTATCACACTACGTACCCTAGATCTTTTGATACTACTTTGTGTAAGGATGGCGGTTGAACGCGGCTTTTTTGGGCTTGAGAGTTTAAGACTGGGATGGGGGGTAGGGAACGTTAATTTGGGACTAGGGTAAAGATGCGTGATTAAATGGGTCATGGATGGGTTATTTTGGGAAGGTTAGGTTGGGCCTTGCTATGTGTGGACTTGCTATATAGGGAATTGGATATGGAGAAATATCGGGGTGTTGCGGAGGTCTAGGTGGTGGTTTTTGGTCAGATGGGTGGGGGGTAAGCGCTGTGCAGGGGGGAGCGGTGTGAGGGTGGCTTTTTTTTTCTTCTCTTCTTTTTGGGCCGCTTTGAGATTCCGATGCGTACTTTGTGCTGGATGACGGCTTCCGATGTTTTTGCTTGGCGTTGTTGCGGATGGGCATGGGGGGAAAGTGTAGAGTTTAGATAGGGCTGGGGTTATGGTAGTACTAGTGTGTGGTGTGGTATGTAGCTTTTGTTCTTTTTATGGAGTTCAAAAACGGGCTATTGGGGTATACGATTGATGGGCGCAAGGGTTGGGGGCTTGATTCATGGAGGTGCCCCATGTAACATGTGTCGCTGTTTTTACGACTTCAGTGCTAGTCATCAAGGTGTATTGTAGCGCCGAATATTGTATAGTAATCGTTGGCAATAATTTTCCGGTGAACCCTTGTAGCATTTACATTGGTGCATTGCTGCTCTTCATGGTCTTTAGTCTCAGACATCAACCCCACTCGTGCACACGACACCCCGCGGGTTCCGGCTACTCCATTCCGACTGATTATACGTACCCCCACTCTGCTCAGGCAGACAATCTGACAGTATAGAAGAACTGCATAGCTCTGCCTCGTATCTTTCCACATCTACTTACTAGTCTTGGCCTGTTTGTCTCTTGTCGGTTATCGACGTATCCTTCGCAGATGATAGAGCGTTTCTTTAGTAAAGGGTATGCGAACATGTCAAGTAGCAGAAAGAGTAGATGACAAAATTGACAGGGGTGTTTGTAGAAATTACCATCGCACTATTTTCAGTGGTCCTGGCGTATACCGCAAGGACTTACTGCATGAGTACTGGAGTTCTTTTACATTCTATATCTTACTCGTCAATGTTTGTTCGATCTAGGGATTCTGTCGTGATCATTAATCTGTACGTCATTTCTTGTCTCGATCTTCGGCAGTGAATCAGTCCCCTGTTATCGTATCCTGCTTGAAATCAAGCGACCGAAATATTTGCCTACAAAATAAGCGTATCAGCGTATCAGCGTACCTAAGAACAAGACTCCTTTTCAACACAGCGTATCTAAATTCCAAAAACAGAGATCTATTCTATTCTTGCACCTGAATCATTTCTTCCAAACTCCTTGTCATCATGCCTTCTCCTTCTTGAAAACCTCAATCGCCCACTTCCCAAGCTGCTCATTCTCAGCGGGTTGTATGGGGTAAAAATGTCCGATATCAACTTCCTTGACCGTACTCTTTCCCTCAGCAACCTCATAGCACTGCTCAATCAACCGTTTGCCCACACCCTTGAACTCATCCTGATTACCAAGAATATGGTACGAAGGAATAGCAATCTTGCTCTCCAGCAGTTCCTTCTTTTCGTCCTCGGAAAGCTTGGAAGCGTCTAGCGCAGCAGAAACGGATTGCGCAACAAACGGCGGTGGGGCACTGCCGCAGATAGTGATACCAAAGTCCCATTCGCACCAGTCTAGTTCATCGACATCTTCACCTTTCTTCTTTAGCGCGGCGACGATTTCGGCACACTTGAGGAGGCCGGTGACAACGCGGGTGCCTTGGGAGAAGCCGATTAGGCCAACGACTTCGCCGCCGGAGTCGCGGATGCGCTTTACGGTGTTGCGGACGAGTTCTTCCACTTCTGAGGGCATGGTGGAGATGTGAGGGCCATCTTTTAGTTCTTTGGCCGTGTCGGGGGCGGAGAGCCAGCGTTTGTAAGGGCCGCAGCCGTCGAAGAACGGGAGGACGCCTGGACCGGCTTGGGAGGGAAAGGGGGCTAGTGAGAGTAAGTCTTTGGGTTTCTAGTGTACCCGAATCGAATCTGGGGGAGAGAATCTTATACAGGCTTATGCGCTTGAAAGAAGTATCGCATTCTGCAGATTTGGGAGTCGGAGTCGGAAGGAACAAACATTGCAGGGAATGAGAGTAAGAGATGGGGGATTTGAAAGCGCAAAATGCATACCGCTCAGACTCTCAACCTCAAATTCCGAACCAAGCACTCTTGTCAATCTCGCCAATTGTACAGTATGTATCATGGAGTTGCTGCCTGAGCCATGGAAGGCAAGAATCTTGGGCTTCGGGTCCATCTTCTCCGCTCAACGTCTAGTGGTGTTTTGCTCGGGATTGGTTCAGCACGTCGGTTTCTTTCACTTTCAAACACCCTTTTTGCTTGGAACTGAACTTCCTTCTCTTTGTAACCCAATTGCAACCAGGCTTACCCTTTTGCGCAGACCTGTTGACTCTGATATAGTGCGAATTCGGCCCCCAAAGTTGTAATGCGGGGTCAGAATTACTGATAAAAAGCAATCGTTGGAGGTGGAAATCGCGTGATGAGTTTTCGTTCGACAGATGTTCTTTACGCTAGGCTTTCCACTTTAAACTCTTCTTTCGACTCTTCCTTCTTTTGAACCCCTGAAGCCGTGTCTTCGATGCGCACAAGGCGGGAAGAAGATTGTCCCCAATAAACCCCTCGATACACTTCACCAATACTTGCGGTGTGAGTTATCTTTTGTTCAGGTGCAGACAGCCAACAAAAAAGCAAATTCAAGTGCCGACCCAAACAAGCCTTCCGTAATCGGACCGCAATCAGCTTTCTTGTTGAACCACGTACTATGGACGCGAAGGTGCAGGCAATTCAGTTGAAGGTATTCCGAGGGGATTTTGTCTTCGTGTAACACAAGAAATAAGTAGGAGTGGTTCTTCCCTTGGGGGGGGAGGGGGGCTGCACTTCACCTTGTATGTCGGAGGCCGAAGATGCGTGTTATGGCGGGGTAGGTGGGAGGGTGGGTAGGTGGCATATCTACCAGGTTACTAGTTAATAAGCCAGCTGCACGCCGCACAAGGCAAGAGCGCCTATTTCAATCAAGCGAGCATACTAACCAGATCTGCATCAGCTATACCGTGATAAAACGATATACAATTGTGGTATCTATACCTTATAATGATACACGCCTTCTAAATGCAGCTCAAGGGAATCATCGTTGCGAACGTGCACATGGCGTACCAAAAGAAATACGTGATCAGAAAGGAAAAGAACCCATACCCATACCTACGCCAAATAGACCAAAAGGAAACCCCACAAAAACCTAGAAACGGGTAGTCCCCGCCCGTACCAGCGTGCCTGATGACTCACTTGAATTCTTACTTCTCCTTCCGCTCTTCGTACTTCTGCCCGAACTCGCAGAATCTGCCCTCACCCTGGAATTCTGTTCTTGTTCTTTGATTGATCTCAAGAGCTTGATGCCCTCCTCAGTCTTTCCCAGCTGAGAAACTATAGCAGTGTTCTTGTGCTGTAGTTCGCCAATCTGCAGCTTAAGCAGTCTGTTCTCTTGCTCCAAGATATCCAGTCGTTGTTTATACTCATTTCGCTCTCGCTGGACCTTGCTGAGTTGGTTCTTAGCCGCTTCCTTCTGTTGGCGCGCAAGCAGTTTACGAGTCTCTTTCTCTCGACGCTCCTCGAGTTTCCGTATTTCTTTCTGATACTTGTGCTCTTGCTTTTTCTTCTCTCTTTCATGCTTCTCGTTTGCCTTTTGTATTTCCTTCTCCGTCTTGGAACTTTCTGTTTGCAAGTTGGTGTCCAGTTTTTCCTGGGCTTGTTCCAGCTTTATTCTCAGTTGATCCTTTTTTTCTTCGATCTTCTGGAGTTCCTTGGTGTGATGGTCGTCTGCTATCGTTAAGGACTGTTGAGATGCTGTGGACGGTGTTGGAATTGATGTATCGATAGGAAGGCCTTCACGTGCAGTAGTAAACTGCTCGGCAGAGGCAAATGAATCCGCTGAGGAGGTGCTCGATGAGCTTGCAGAATCATTGCGCTGTAACTCCAAGTGGCTACTCGGGTATGTGGGCTTTTCCGCTATGCTAACTCCAACACCAGCAGTTATTCCATTTGTATCTGCCACGGACATGGTGCGCGTGACTTCGTGCAGACTTCCTGTGTCCGCTTTTACTTCTGATTCGTCATTCCTCGCGCAGGCCCAGTCGAGAAACTTGAGTGCGTCCTGACATATACTACTGGGCACATTTCGTTCCACCATGAAGCGAGGTATGCCACCTCCAGGATCGCTGCGTGTGATCATGATCCATTCGACTGGGTTAGTCTCTGCGTCGCCGTCTGGTAATGGTATCTCGCGTATCATCTCGACCGACTCATAGAAACCCCGTACCATGTTACTTCGTGGCGGTGCGTTCGGGTGCGAAACAGGTATGGAGACAACCATGAAATGTCGGGGTATCGTGTCAGCGACTTTTGACGCCTCGGTCAGACAGCTATCCGAGGTGATGAGGAGGGTAATGAACTCGCGCGGAGAGGTTGGTCCTGGAAATTGAGCTGAAAGTTGGTATACTGCGATGCTGTCAGCTGTCTGCACTTCCTGGACTGTATGTCACACTATATACCTTGTAGCTGTCCTACACCATCTACAGTCATGTCCTCAAGTCTCTGGTCTCCTCCAATACCTCGCACATTGCCCTCGCCCGGACCGCCTTGGACCTTCAAACTCTCTTCAAACTCGCTCTGCATGGCACGCTTCCATTTATTGAAGCCTAGACCTTCGTGTACACTTGTCCTTGAGAACCAAGCTCCATGCCTATCCTTCCCGGCCATCTTGAAAACGCTCATCCCCGTAGCGGCATCGGCATTCCCCAGCTTGAGAGGCTTTCCCCATGACTTTTGCAGCTCTTCATGTGTCGGAGCTGGCGGAGGTCGCCGTACCTGGGAAATGGTGAGGTCCTTAGCGCTCGTTGCGGGTTGTTGCTCGGTTCGCGTCCGTTCTGATGATTCGTAAGGCGTGCCATTGGGAGGCGGAGGTACAGAGTTTGCAATCAGTTCTGCTTTAGCTAGTATATCGGATAAGAATCCCTTGAGATCATCGGTCGGGACGTCACTGAATTCTTTTGGCCTTAGGCAAGCGAGCGCCTCATGCAATTCCGCCATGATGAACACTATTGGACTTGTTGATGGGTGAGGGAAGTCCGGAGATGTTGCAAAGAGGACGGACGAAGCCAAAAGTCACGGAACGCTCAAGCTTTTGGCAACCGCGCTCTGATAACGGCGAGATTTGCGGACTGTGGAAGTTCCGATGTAGCCGTGGAGCGAACTGGCTGGGTCCGGTGACGGTCGATGAAGTCACTATGATACGGGAACAAATGTCGAAAGCGATCTGTCTCAGTCTTGCTGAACGTCTACTGTGTAAAGCATATGGGAATGTAAATTAGGAGAGTAGTTTGTCGAATTCCAAGGACTCCTGTGCACACAAGGTACAGCGCGCTCGTATTCCGCGTATTGTTGATTCGACGTCATCCCTGCTACTATGCGTTGGTTCGCCATGCGCAGGGCTGTGGGGTCGCCCGCAACTCCGCCGACATCCCCTCCAACCTCGGAATCACACTTGGTCCGAAGCCGCTAGTGTACCTACGTCACACCATACACTCTTTTGGGGAAAGTTGCGAGATGATCTGGCTCGCCTTGTGCACAGTCACACAACGCATACACCGGTCCTATAGCACTTTGAACGAGATGCACAAACGAGGCTGATGGCTTATACTGTAGGTCGAATCAAAAATCACCAGATGATAATTAAAAAGGGTATTCGCAAGTCTATCCCGTCTATGCTAATGCAAAAGCCAATTCACCCTATAACACACACGCAGCAGTATCTAGAACACTTCTATCACAGGAGACTATACAAGCACGTACAGCGCACACATCTGTTGATAGTTAGCAATCTGTCATCGTTCGGCCGAGATGAGTCAGCTTACCATACTAAGTCCCAGGATCATGCTGCACCAGAACAAGACATTGTTCAGCAATGTACGACCCTTGATCCATTTGCTTCGCTGCAACATGACGATGGGCATCTGAAGCATCATGGCAACAAAGCCGTAGCCTCTGAATTTTCTCGTGATACAGCCCATGACCAGTTCGTGGGCCAGCGCGGAGATGAAAAAGGTGATTATTATGGCCAATGGCCGCGACATGTGGTTCTTGGACGCACTGTAAACGTGTCGTCGAAGAAACTGATGCACCGGAATGTTCCACTCGGCACTGTTTAAGTAGGTTAGACGCTGCTTTGGAAGAAATATGTAATAATCCGTACCTGAACTCGAGCCAGTCACAGCTGTTCCACCAGTCAGCGTAGAATTGACGATCGGCGAAGCCTGTACAATGTAAGTGCGGGTAGATTATTGTGGTTTTGAGAAAGACCTACGCGTGATTTCTGCAAATGCACCCAGGATGTACTCGAAGATAACTAGGAATACCAGGAGGAAGGTGATCATAAAGGGGAACAGCAGACGACCAATCGTCTCACCCATGATCAATGCAAAGTCGGTTGCGCTGTTCGAGTTATGGAGTCGCACGGCCGATACGTCGAGCACTGGAAGTATGAATTCCTCCGCAGTAATAACCATGAGAAAGATGCATCCGAACACAGCCAATGTCTTGTAGAAGACCTCGAGCCAACGAACATGAGTGTTGCGGGGATACTCGAGCTCATAGCAGAGCGTTGGGCAGAAGATGAAATCCACATAGTTGTACAAGGTGAGGTTGTTGGGGTACGAGACATTACCCAAAGGTGACGCAAGCTCCAAGGCAAGCTCCTCACGCAAGTGGCCAAGGTATTCTGCATTTGGGTCTTTGGGTTCTGACTCGGTCTGAGACGGTGACTTTGGAATCTCGTGTAGATGAGTACGGGGAGTCGGGTATCGAACCGCTGCCACTTTGCTAGCTTGATCAGGTGTGTCGAGATCGTTCAGACGTCTCAGAGTTTCGCTGAGATGACCGTTGTAGAATCTTGAAACGTCAGTCTGGGCCGTCATTTGTAGATTCTTGGATAGCGTACGCGTATGAGTGCATTTTCATGAAAATTGCAAGTAGATGTAGGGTGAAGAAGACCTGTGCTGTCCAGCTCCAATCGCGGATGAATGGATATCTTCACAGTCGTTAGTCTATGGTACATGATCGGAAAAGCGACGGCTTACGTAGTCCAGAAAGCAAGCCAGATGGCCTGCAAGACGCTCTGTATAGCCATACCATACGTGTTCCAGCGAAGCACTTTGTCTTTGAGGAACAGCTTTTGGAGAGGCAGTGACAAAGCCGTACTGCAGACCATGGCACCATCAACCAGGCCAAGCTCAACCACCTTTTCCTTGAACAATGCCCACTGCCTCATCTGAAACGGATATCCAGTCTCTGTCATGTTTCGGAGCATCGAGGTGATGACCATGATGGCAAGGCCAATCCAGAACAGTACGAAGAAGCCGCGGAAGTCATGGTGGTCGCTGTTGGGGTCAAAGTGCGAGACGCGATTCTGGTAGTGGATGGTAGGGAATATGCGCTGCTTGTGCTGAGCGCGTATCTGTCGGCGCGCAGACGAAGAGGCCTGGACGGAAGGCGGGGCATCGGGGGGTATAGGGGTCGATCTTCCACTGCGGAGGGTCAGTAATGTGCTGCGCCAAAAAAGCACACTGGTGATAGGCACCTCGAGAGACCAGAGGCGGCTTCTTTCAGAGTGCCATTTTTATTGAGGCCTTCGTCGCTAAGTTTAGGCTTCAGGAGGTCGATTCTCGTGGGTTTGCGCGGTCGCGGGGAATGAAAGTCGGCGTCCCCATTATGGTTGTGCGTGTCAACAGAGGTAGATTCAGCCATTGTGGATTCAGCCATCATGAGCAAAGAGTATGCGCATGTCGAGGATGTAAGTAATGATGCAAAAGGGGATTGAAACGTGGACAGGCCAGAGTATGATCAGCAACCCACACGGCGACTGGTTCTCGGTCCTTATGGGTAGTGGATAATATTGTAGCCAGGCAAGCCTTCCGAACACCCGTGCAGCATGACAAAAACAGGAATCGAGTAGGAGGAGGATGGGATCACCACGTGGAGAAGTCTGCCTGGGGGCTGCTTGCGCGCACCCATTCTATCGCGGCGACGGTGCTCTAACATTCGTTAGCTGTCAGGGTCGGTTACATCACAGGTCAGACGCGCTTGCCACCACGGGCAGTGCAGCGGGAATCAAGGACTTTTGCCCAGCCAGCTAAGGCTATCATCATCCGCCCCGTAGTCTGTAGCACTCCTCATAGCCAAAAAGGCCGTCATTGGATTCGGCATGCGTGGTGAATGGCCTAAGACAGAATGCGATAACTGTGTGTAGGCGTCTGCGTAGCTGGAACACGCTGGGTGCCTGACTCGCGCGATAGGCCTCCGTTGCCCCCAGCCATATTATCTATGGACGTGTACAATGGCCGAGACGCCCTGGGCTTGTTCAAGTGAGATTGGGGAGGATGCGCTGGACTGATAGCAAGTTGAAGCATCTAGCAAAAGCGTCAAGGAGAGATGGTAGCAACCAGCAGTGTTCAAGTGGTTTGGCCTGCCAGCAGCGGTAGCGTGGGCGTTGCCCTCGTTGGTTGTCGGTGGGAGGTGCGTCTGCATCCGACATCTGGAACAAATAACGGCCCGGCCAGGTGGAAGCCGTCCCCCCAAACGCTGTCGACAACCAAGCCCTCCAAAAGGAATACCTCGAGTTGCCCGTGCCCGATTGATCCTGCCGACCGAACAGCAGCCCTCCGTCCTTCATTCCCGCCTCTCGATCGAACCTTTGAACGCTGCTTGGGTGGGGTCCAAGAGGCCACTGCAATGGCTTCCTGTACGCCAAGCATCGCACCGCCCGCAGCTATGGACATGTGCTAAGAATTACCAGTGAAGCAGTTTATTCGCAATGTGCGCGCTGCAAAGACGATTGCTGATGAGCGTGCCGTTGTCCAGAAAGAGAGTGCGGCGATCCGCGCCAGCTTCAGGGAGGAAAGCCACGATTCAAATGTGAGGAGGAACAATGTCGCAAAGCTCCTCTACCTCTTCACACTCGGCGAGAGGACGCATTTTGGTCAGATTGAATGCTTGAAGCTGCTGGCCTCTCCCCGCTTTGCGGACAAGCGGTTGGGCTATCTGGGCACCATGTTGCTCCTGGATGAGAACCAGGAGGTCTTGACCCTGGTCACCAACTCGCTCAAGAAGTACGTCCTCCTCCATCGAGCTTGAAGCCCTATCACATATGCTAACCGTATTGCAGCGACTTGAACCATGCTAATCAGTACATTGTCGGCCTCGCCCTTTGCACCCTTGGAAACATTGCATCGGTTGAAATGGCTCGAGACCTGTTCCCAGAAGTCGAAACGATAATATCGAGCGCGAACCCCTACATACGTCGCAAAGCCGCAATCTGCGCAATGAGGATATGCCGAAAAGTACCCGACCTACAAGAACATTTCTTGGAAAAGGCCAAGTTGCTGCTACAAGACCGCAACCATGGAGTCCTGCTGTGTGGTGTCACTTTGGTAGAGAATCTGTGCCAAGCAGACGAGGACGAAGACGATGAGAATGGTGTACGGGACCTCTTTAGGCCAACCGTACCCAGCTTGGTCAAGATATTGAAGGGACTGTCATCTTCCGGCTACGCTCCCGAGCACGATGTAACGGGCATCACAGATCCCTTCTTGCAGTGCAAGCTACTACAGCTGTTGCGTGTCCTGGCCCGCGGCGATGCTCAGGTCAGCGAACAAATAAACGATATCCTCGCCCAGGTTGCAACCAACACCGACTCTTCCAAGAATGTTGGTAATTCGATTCTCTACGAAGCTGTCCTTACCATCCTCGACATTGAGGCAGATTCCGGACTTCGTGTGCTTGGTGTGAACATTCTGGGAAAGTTCCTGTCTAACCGGGATAACAACATTAGATATGTCGCTCTCAACACCTTGATCAAGGTGGTTGCAGTCGAACCCAACGCTGTACAGCGGCACAGGAACACCATCCTTGACTGTCTTCGAGATCCAGATATCAGTATTCGAAGGAGGGCACTTGATCTTAGCTTTACTCTGATCAATGAGAGCAATGTACGGGTACTTATACGGGAGCTGTTGGCTTTCCTAGAAGTCGCCGACAATGAGTTCAAGCCGGTCATGACCTCACAGATTGGTATTGCTGCGGATCGCTTTGCGCCAAATAAGAGGTGGCATGTTGACACGATGCTACGCGTCTTAAAACTGGTCAGTGACTCAAGCCTTGGGTTGTGGTTTTCTTCTTGCTAATATGGGATACAGGCCGGCAACTATGTTAAAGAGCAGATTCTGTCGTCTTTTGTCCGACTAATCGCTACCACACCCGATCTCCAGACCTACTCAGTACAGAA